CATAAATCTGAATGCACAAGCTCAAGAGGATTATTACACAAGGAATCAGATAAAGAATAAGGTAATCTGTGGGCCTTTGCAAGAAGACAAGAAGAACAAACTTCATTCATAGATTTGTAATCATAAGAAAGATTACAATCTTTTAAGGCTTTAATTACAATATCATAGGCTGAGTGTCCAAGCCTTTTGTGCCAAACATCTAAATTGCACTTCTTGGAATGAAAAACTGCATTAATACTAGCACTAAATAGAGGTGGTTTGTCCTTGAAACTTGAAAAGACAACTTGCTGTTTTTCTCTTGAACTGGAAAGGTTGAACTGGTAAAGGCCTTCCTTAAGAGTTCCCTTGAGCAGAATTTGGTGAGAAATTTGATCCTTGACAAGACAACAATAAGAGTGAAATTCAAAATAAACTTTGTTATCATTGGCAAATTCAGATACACTAAGCAGGTTCTTGGTTATTGAAGGAACATGCAAGAGTTTGTTAAGGGTGAATATTCTGGAAGATGAAGGTGATTTAAGTTGAGCTTTACCAATATGATAAATGTACTCACCAACTCCATTACCCATATGTAACCTGTTGCTGCCTTGATATTCAGACACACTGGTCATGTTGTTCAAGTCATTTGAGACATGGTTGGTGGCACCTGAGTCAGGGTACCAAAGTGTATCCATGTTACCCTCAACTTGAAAGTTTGAAGATGATGAAGGGAGCTGAGCAATATGAAGGGCTGGATTTCTTTGGTAGTTTCCTTGAAAAACACTTGAAGATGAGCCTTGAGTCTGAGAGCTGTTGTTAGTTTGGTGAGTTTGAGGAGTGAAGTTGGTGTCAAATCTGTACCAACATTTATTAGCAGTGTGTCCTGAGATCCAACACACTTGGCACACTGGTCTTGAGTTTTGAAAATGACCACTTCTTCCCCTATTTCCTCCTCTAAACCTGCCTCTGCCTCTGTTAGAGAAACCTCTTCCTCTTTGAGCATTTTGATTGCTTCCTTGAAAATTTCCTCTATTAGCATTATGAGCAAAGTTCAAAGATGGCTGAGATCCATCAGCATTGATGTTGGGAGATCCTGTGTTGTTGCTGATCATTCCACTTGCTTCAAGTCTAGTCTCATAACTCAACAGAAGAGCCTGTACATCCATCACTGTCCATGTATCCATTCTAGAGGTGACTGTTATCATAACAGGATCATACTCATTCCCAAGAGCTGAGATGATGTGCAAGATTTGATCTTTTTCAGATACCTTTGCTCCCACTGAGGCTAGCATGTCAAAGCAACTTTTTATATTGTTTAAAAATTCTTTCATACTTAGATTTCCCTTCTTCATAGTTTGAAGTTGAAGTTTATATTGCATTTGTTTAGCAAGAGACTGGCTAACAAAATTTGTAGATAAAGCATTCCAGATTTCCTTTGAGGTTTGGAGACCTACCATTTGAACCAAGAGCCCTTCTGAAAGAGAGGATAAGTGCCAAGAAGCTAAGATTTGATCTTGCCTTTGATAGGTAGTGTAGTCTGGATTGAGGGAATGATTGTCTCCTTGCACTGTGAACTGAGGTGGTTCTTGTCCTCCAAGGATAAAATGCTCGAGGCCATAGCCTCTGATGGATATCAAGGCTTGCTGCTTCCAGATGAGGTATTTTCCTTCATCTAGCTTGATGGTCAAGAGCTGACTTTGAGGATATATCACTTGCATCTGGGAAGAAGGGTCAGTGGATCTCAGATCTGAGGTTGAGGAGCTTGAGTCTCCCATGTTTCAAAGCAGAAGGTAAAAATTAAAAAAAAAAAAAAATATTAGAGACAGGATCAATCTGCTCTGATACCATGATAGAAAAACCAAAGAATCATCATAATAAATGCTGCAAGAAAATAAAAGCTTGAGAGCTTTGAATGGAACAACAACTAAGAGAAATGGAGTGTATTTTACATTAAGCCGTCTGCAAGGTAATGTTTACATATATATAGCATGAAAACCCTTCTACCAATGTTATCTAAGCCACACAAAATAAAGCTCTAATCCTAGCCATCCATCTAAGAGAGAGAACAAAAAAAGCTGCAAAAGGAGCCTGCATATTTCCCATGCAGGTACAACATGCAGCATGCATGCTTTGAATTCTCACGTGCTAGCCTTCTCCAACTTATCCTGTGACACGTGCTGATGGTGTATGCTAACATCAATCAATAAATTTTATGGAAACTTATCAATTAAATGAAATTGCATTTAACTTAAGAGATATCATATGATATATAATATAACTTGAATGAAAAAAAAAAAATGTTTACTAACAAATGTTAGACGAAATTTGACCAAGTTTATATGTGTATATAAAAGTGTATATATGTTTAATTTGACCAAGTTTATATATATTTTTTTCTGGTATGGTTCATCTACATCACATATTGGAGGGGATTTTAAGGTTTTGTAGTTATGAATTTATGATTATAAATCTCATCTGGTCATTAATTAATTTATATTTTACACAAGTTATTCAATGATAATTTTTTTAGCACAAAAATGTAGACATGTTAAAATGGGCCAGCGGGGCAGACAGACCCGCAGCTCGCCAAAATCCACCATTTGGCGGGGCGGGGCGGGGCGGCCCGCCATCCTGGCGAGCCTCTAAATGGCCAGCCCGGCCCACCCCGCCATGAGCCGCGGACTAAGTGGGCTGGCCCGCCAAATTTTTTAAAAAAATATATATATTAAAAAGTTTAGGGTGTGATTGTTTATCAATTCACTCCAAAAAAAATCAATTAAAACTCAAATTTAACTCAACTTTAACCCAACCCTACAATCTTCAATATTATCAATGTAATGAAATAATATCAACCAATCATTCAATTAATCATTCTTACACATCACATCAACTTTAATTCACTATTCATCCACTCACATTATTTTAACTAATCATCACTTTCAATCATTTTTTGTTACTTTTACACATTATCAACTCTAAATATTTTATTTTAAATATTATTTTAACATATCCACTAACAACTAACTATACCAACTTTTTTCAAAATTAACTATAGTTAAAAAAACCAATTAGTTTATAAATGAATTCATAAACAATCACCCCTAATTCTTTTTTCAGGACATTGTTGAAATTCAAGACTACATTTATGTGGAGACAAAAGAAATATACTACCAAGAACACGAGGCAACACCAAATCTTAGGGCGTGATTGCTTATGAATTGTACAGTAAATATCTCACTCAAAACTCAAATTTAACTCAATTCCACTATCTCCAATATTATCAATAAAATTAAATAATATATACAAATCATTATTACACATTACATCAATTTTAATTCACTGTTCATCCACTCACATAATTTTAACTAACCATCACTTCCAATCATTTTCTTATATTTTTACATCAAATCAACTTTAATTATTTAATTTAAATATTATTTTGATATATCCACTAACAACTAACCATACTATTTTTTTTCAAACTTAACTATAGATAAAAAAAAAACCAGTTTTTTACTAGTTAAATTCATATCCAATCACCCTTATTTATCCGTGAGGGCCGGCCCACCCTCTTTCTTTTTTTACTCTTGAACCTTAATGGCTATTTAATACAACAATACTACAATTTTTACGTTGGCAGAAATGAGGTTGGATTTTTTTTTATTTATTTGTTTATTTTTTTTTTGTT